ACTTCTAATCTCATGTCCCTCATTCCATGTACTGTTATAACATCAGATCTACTGCGTAGGCCCAGTCACATCTATACCAAGCTTTCATGTAGTCTTTTGGGGATGTGTACAGAGCTGCCAAGCAACAATCCGCATTTTCAACAGCCCCCTGCTCTACTAGCATCAGCATGTGAGGCAACTTGTTAATGTCTGTTATTAGTCTTATGGAAGCATCTGTTGTAATGTCATCTTGCCTTCAAAATAGCTTCTTTTGACACTATTAAAGCTCAAGTTTTCAAAGCTGTCTAATGGATTCGGTGCCCAGTTGCTCTTAGAATTAATGTGAATTAGGTATCCAAATCCCCGAGGTGACTTTGAAAATCTCAGCCTAAATGTTCCCCTGCTTGGCTTCTATTATGGACTGAAGTCTCATAGTATGCAATTCAACTGCAGTCTCCAGCTTTGCCTTAGGTAAGACTTTGGTATCAAGATGACCTCCCAGGGGTGGGCCTTTTCATTATCTGTGCTAGTAAAACATTTCTAGGGTGCCCCCTTGGAGTCAGCACAGCTAGTAAAATAGTTAAACAACTGTCCTTGCTCACACAAGGCAGAATCACACTAGAAAATGTTAATACTTCTCCTCCCCCCCCCCCCCAAGTTCAGACAAAACCAAAGAGTGAATCTTATTCTGCCTCATCCTTAGCTATTACCTTAGTAACTGTCCCTTGTGCTAGGATAACTAATCCATATCAATTACCCTTTTGCTGTTTGAATACCACTGCAAATTCTTTTATGGCACAATTCTAATATTTGCTTCAAAAGGGACATTAGGGCATGACTACACGATAGGTAGCTATTTGCATCTGACATATAAAAGCATCTGTAGGGAAGTATCATTCAAAGTGAGGGGTAAATTTGGGTATCCATAAAGGATTCTGATTGGACTACTCTTTTTCAGTTTCACTAGCTCTTACTCATTTGTTTAAATCCCTTTTTAGCATTCAGATGGTCACTGGTAAGTGGTCTAGAGTCTGATTTTAATGTTCACCAAGTATCTTTCCAGTGGTAGCCATGTTCATCTGTATCAGCAAAAAAAAAAAACAACCACGGAGTCCTTGTGGCACCTTAGAGACTAACAAATTTATTTGGGAAAGCTTATGCCCAAATAAACTTGTTAGTCTCTAAGATGCCACAAGGACTCCGTGTGTGTGTGTGTGTTTTTGTGCTAAGTATCTTTTGTATCTTAGTCAGTTCAGATGTACTAAGAACTTAATTACAATTTACTCTTGCAGAATAAGTGACAATCAATCGAGCCCAGGTGAAATCATGGAGGCACTGATAGGACCAGATCGGTACAGATGGGCCACTATGAACCATAAAGAGCGGATGGCAGCAGCAGCTGCTATGGCCTTCACCCAACTTTGTGCAGAGCAAGGAGATGGCGATAGCCTGAGAGGAACCTATGCTCCAACCCAGTATGACCCCTATAGTAAAGCATCTGTGACTTCTGGGATCAGGCCATCTCTTCATCTGTTGATGCGGCACCATCAGGCAGAACACAGCGTGCAACCAGAGACCCTCTCAGAGGGACCTAGAGGACCCAGGAAGCCAGTGATGAAGAGGAAAGTTCTGAGGCGGATGCCTGATGGAGAGGTACATGTGTCTGATGAATCAGTCACCAGTGAACCAGAAACCAGTGCTGAAAGTGACCCTGAGATCTCAGACCTGAGACAGAGACTGCTCCATCTACACCCCCACCAGGAAGACACCGCGTCAGAGGTGGAAAGCGAGCCGAACCACAGTTCCCACGGAAAGTTTTACTTGGATCTTCCTCGTCGCAGTGGCTCTCATGGAGACCCTCCATTTCTTCCTAGGGATTGCCATGGTCAGGGCTCTCCAGTTTACGAACAAGACTTTATTATGGCTGGACAACCAAAATCCTTCATTCCTCCAAGATTAGAGCAGCAAGGCCGTAATCGTGGGAAGATTGACCGGGTAGCCCGGTACTTTGAGTATAAGCGGGACTGGGAGTCATTCCGGATACCAGGGGAGGATCACAGGAAGGAATTGCGCTGGGGCATTCGGGAACAGATGCTCTACAAGCCTGACCTCCCAACCAGGTCTCAACACATCTATGTCCCCAACAACTATCTGGTGCCTACAGAAAAGAAGAGATCTGCCCTGCGCTGGGGGGTGCGCTGTGACCTGGCAAGTGGCCTCATTCCCAGGAAGAGCTCCTTTCCTTCATAGTTATCTAGAGTCTCTTCAACCCCCATCCACAGGACTATCCATCCCTTAGTGCCAATCAAAGATCTACCTGCTCTGCACAGGCACATTGCATCATTCTTAACTCTTTGTTCCTTCTAGAGATCCTGAATAAGTCAAGTTGACTCTAAAATCTCATTTGTGCTTCTAGACAAAGGAGGTTGATTGTGGCAGAAAACAGCTTTACCTGCCAGCTTCCTGAATATTTGTATTGAAACGCATCAGTTGCACACCAAGTTGCAGAAGTTGCCTGCCTATTAGCAAGACCTGCAGAGCTTCTCCTTGAGTAGACTATTGCATCAGAAACTGCTCAAAGTGGATATAAGGAAAATAATCAACCTCCAGGATCTTCTATGCTCACAGGAATAACCAATATCACTAGTTCTATTTTTTTGCCTTTTTATGTTTTGCTCTTGCTCCTGTGGACGAATTGCTGTGACGCTATTGATGGTGTTTTATTTATGGCTTCTGGGTGATGCATTTATTTTAATAAAGTGCGTGAAAGGATCTGTTGTAGTTCTGTGGATTAATTAGAAACACTTCTGATTAGCTTAAGAGAGAACTTTCCTAACCAGTCTAGGGCAAGTAACTATTCTATGCATTTGTCTATGCCTTTACATTCATAGGCCTTGTCTACACTGCAGAGTTTTGTCACCAAGAGTGGCATTGCAGTGCCTCCATGAGGCTTTTATATTGTATTTTTAAGAGGCAGCTGTCTGCCACTTTAAGTTGCCAAGGCACTTTCTGTAGATAGAAGCATTTGCCATGGTGTCCTTAGCCAGCCCAGTACCAGAATAATTTGTCAGTCTATAAAGGTCTTTAGGAGCCTCTGGGATGGAAGGGGTTAGAACTTTAATACATTAATGTCATTGTATAAAATGCATCTATCCAGTGTTCTGGAGGTGCCGCGTGGTTCACAGGATAGAACAACAAAGTGAGAAAATCTAGGTTCTGTGTCTAGCTCTGCAGTTGACTTGCTGTATGACTTTGGGCCTCAGTTTCCCCATCTGTGAGACAGGGATACTGAGTCTTACACTGCACAGATCAGAGAGTGCCACAGAGCTGTGTGTGATTCAGCACAAACATGCACAGCCAATGTACTAAAGTTAAGAAAGCCCTTCCCACCCCAGCAGAACTATCAATTCCCTCGGCCACCTACTGTGAAAGAGAAGGCCTCTAGACCTCCCAACCCCTTGACTTTTTTTCCAGCCAAGAAGGAAGATCTTGCAAAGGAAGATCGCTCGCTAAGAATACCCTCTCCGCCGCACCCCACCCCTCCCTTTAAACCTGGAGGCTGTTCGCTCACTACTGCTACCACTGCACGTCCCGAGGAGCGATTGTTCCTGGTCTCATGCAGCCTTGGACCGACCTCCAGGGAGGCCCACTGGAGAGAGCGAGGGTTTCAAGCCTGCCCTATTTCTCGCCCTGGCTGGATCGGACAGCGCGAATCCTGCATTGCCAAGTGACCCCGTGCCAGACAAACCAACCTCCCCGACAGGCGAGTTAGCCCTGCAACGCGGCGCCTACCTCTACAGCAGCCCGGCCGGAGACCGGCCCCGACTCGAAGGGCCAGGGCGGGGGGGTCACGTGCGCGCTGCTTTCCGCGTTCCCTGCAGGAAATGACCTTTCCACTCCCCCATGCTCTGCAGGAGGGTCATGGGAAATGTAGTTCCGGCACCACGTGGCCCACAGTCCTATTTCCAGCAAGGGGCTAACGGGGGCTGTTTGCAATGTGAACACTGCACAGGCAGACTCTCCCTCATCCGCAGGGAGACTCCCGCAATCTTGTGCTGCTTTCAGGAAGCGTTGGAGGCGTCTTTGCCCTTCTCAGGGGGACGCTTACAAATAATCACCATCATGTCAGTGTGAAATCCTCCTTCAGAGAAGCCTCTGGAGCCAGCCCCTGCTGTAAAGGGGAGAGGGGCTTTTCATGGTTTATCATGCTTGGCACTGACTGTGCTTTTCAGCCATAGGCCAAAAAGCACTGTACAAAGGCAGGCAAAGTCATATTGTTCCCAAGCAAGTGTGGAGCTTTCAGGCCTGATTTTCAGAGGTAGGGGCCAGCATACCCATGACTCCAGTGGGAGCTGCAGGTAGTGAGCACATCTGAAAACCAGGCTATAGTGCAGAGGTGGGCAAACTATGGCCCACAGGCCCCTCCTGCCCAGCCCCTGAGCTCTTGGCCTGGGAGGCTAGTGCCCGGCCCCTTCCCTGCTGTTACCCCTCCCCAGCAGCCTCAGTTCACTGCGAGCTCCTAGGGCAGCGCAGCAGCAGAGCCCGGCCTGTGGTATGGCTTTAGCGCTGCCAGCCGCTGGTGCTCCAGGCAGCGTGGTAAGGGGACAGGGAGCGGGGGGGTTGGGTAGAGGGCAGGGGAGTTTGGGGTGGTGGTTAGGGGGTGGGGGTATGGATGGGGTTGGGGTGGTCAGAGGGTGGGAACAGGTTGAATGGGGCAGTCAGGAAGGGGCTGGATGGGGTGGCGGGGAGAAGGGGTGGTTGGATGGAGCAGGGATCCTGGGGAGCAGTTAGGAAGGAGGCGGGGTTGGATGGGGCAGCGGGGTGCAGTCAGGGGCAGGGGTTCTGGAGGTGGTCAGGGGACAGGGAGAAGAGGTGGTTGGATGGGGCAGTCAGGGAACAAGGGGGGGGGTGGATGGGGCAGGAGTCCCAGGGAGGGGCCGTCAGGGGGTGAGAAGCGGGGAGGGGAGGGTGGATAGGGGGCAGGGGCCACACCTGGCTGTTTGAGGAGGCACAGCCTCCCCTAACCCGCCCTCCATACAATTTCCGAAACCTGAATGGCCCTCAGGCCGAAAAGTTTGCCTGCCCCTGCCCTAGTGACTTGTCCAAGGAAGGCCACACAGCCAACCAATGGCAGAGCGGGGATTAGAAACCAGCTATGGTGACTCCCAGTTCTGTGAAGTAACCACTAGACCACACTGTCTCCCATGGCATAAGCCAGGGGTTCTCAAACTGGGGGTCAGGACCCCTCAGGGGGTCACAAGGTTATTACATGGGGGGTCGCGAGCTGTTAGCCTCCACCCTAAACCCCGCTTTGCTTCCAGCATTTATAATTCATAGATTCATAGATTATAGGACTGGAAGGGACCTCAAGAGGTCATCGAGTCCAGTCCCCTGCCCGCATGGCAGGACCAAATACTGTCTTAATGTTATTAAATATACAAAAAAGTGTTTAACTTATAAGGGGGGTCACGTTCAGAGGCTTACTATGTGAAAGGGGTCACCAGTACAAAAGTCTGAGAACCACTGGCTTAAGCTATCACTCCACAGGTTGTTGCTTTTATCATCTAAGACTTTACAATGTGGGTGCAGATGGAGAGCAATTTTATCACTGATGGTGCAACCAAGTTGTGGAGAACATAAGAAACCTGCCTTTGCCCAGAAAATTTTTGAAATGTGATCTTTTAAAATGAGGTTTTAAAAAAAAAAAAGAGGTCTTTCATGGTAAAAATCATTAACCTGAATGGTCCTGAAATATTTGTTTCTAACTGATTCTCTTTGTTTCTTTCACCAGCTCTGTGGCCTGGGGCGCTGGATTTAAAGTCCTCTTTGATCACAGCTGTCTTGGGGAGCTAAATGGCTCCCCATGTGTTAGGACAAGACTGGTACTAGGACTCTGGAATCAGGGGGCACAGTGACTTCATTCCCAAGAGGTGGTGATTAGGTTATCAAGCCTCATGAAAATATAGTAGAAAATGGAACATTTTAGAAAAAGCTTGTGATCCTTTGTCTCTTTCCAGGCCCTGAGTTGCCAAAGTGGTTTTCTTGAATTGCACTGTGCAGAGTACAGACTTGGCTCCCACTCCTTCATTCCATCCAGCCCCCAGAGAAGAAATGAAAACAGATCTCAGGACTTCTCTATATTCAAAGTTGCACCAGTTTATAACTTTAAATCAGATTCAAAATTGTTTTAAGGATCTTGCCCCCTGTTTATAGCAATTTAGCATAAACAGATTAAGATGGTTAATTTACTAGGCTTTTATTATTATTTATTATATTGCCCCTGTGGTAGAGGGGCAGATTCCAAGGCTGCCCTGTTTTTGTGTTAGTAGAGCTGCCCCCTAATATTTGCGGGGAGAAGACAGGCCAAAGAAAATACTTCCCCTGGGGAAAGAAAACTCAGGTGAGGGCCATTTCACATCCTCTCCCTCTCCTGATTAGGAGACAAAGGGAGGAATTCAAAGGTGTGCTGCAGCCACATGGTTACAAAGAAGCTGTAAGGACACCCCCCCCCCCCGGAATAATTTCTCCCGGGGGTCATGACAGTTCTCCATGCTGCCCCCACTGAAGATCATGGATGCAGGGGCATATCTGGGGTGTCCATATAACACCCCTAGCTATTTCCCATGCTGTATACAGCCCATAGGGGCTGTAGTAGGTTGGATGCAAGTTAGAGCAGCCCTCACAATGCCCCTGTGATTGAGGTATAATGAGCATTTCACCCACCCCAGAAAAGCAGCTACCTCTGGGGTGAAATGTAGAGAAGTAGAACGTAATTACTCAGCATCAAATATGTCTGGGCGGCATTAATAACTCTGAAAATCTCATAGAAGTGGCTATGGAATTTTTGATGGCCCCAAGTGGTCAGGTCTTGGTTTCAGGCCTTAGCCAAAAGATTCCAATTCCTGTAAGCCAAGATAGGGAAGAGGAAAGAACACTAGATACTGCTTTACTACCCCCATTTCTTGAGTGCCTTGCTGCTCCCACGAGGTCACCTATTCATAAAATAGCCCAATGCTGTTTAATATTTTCATTGCTGATATGATCACAGCATGGAGACCCCAAACTGGGTGGCAGAGGGGAAGTAATGGCACTCTCCCAAGCCTCACTCAGATGAGATGCTGGTCACAGTCGAAAGTGCAAATTTGTGATCCTCCCTCTCCTTTTTTATATGCTTGGATATCCGCAAATCAACAATTTTTACATTTAGATCAGACTAAGTGGGTATTCACCCACGAAAGCTTATTCTCCAATACATCTATAAGGTGCCACAGGACTCTGTTGCTTTTTACATTTAAATCGTCATCCTATCCTGGGGAATACGTCTCACTATTATTGTTTCAGGCTCTCTGCAAATTCAGACAGATGCTGCTGCATCAGTTTGCATGTTTTTCCAGCTTTCTCCATAATTATAAGTGCTAGACACTTACACTTTTTTAAAATGAAAGCTGAGGTTTCTGAAGAACAAGATAGCATCCTAAAAAAAAAAAACCTTATAAATTGCCAGCTCAGCATAATCTGGCTCACTTCAAGCCCTGCCCCAACCAAGTGATTCTCTTTGCTCTAGATGGAGGAGCAGGTGTGTGTAACTTCAGCTTCAAGCTACAGGAACTCATTCTCCTGTCTTCACTCTGCTGCCTTTTCCTTTCAAATTTTAGCCACCAAGTATATCCGGTATGAAACAGCACTACAGTAATGAACCCAAACTGGAGGATGAGGGTGGTCTTACATTAATAACTCCAGACCCCACAGGAAGATACTGGAGGATTTTAAAAAATCATTTGTTGTATATTGCCAGAAAATGACACAGGACTTTGAAAAAGGGCAAGCAAGGAGTGGTTCCCATAATGGAGTACACCAGGCCCACGAACCTGCAGGGCAGCGGTCTGAGAAAGCCATTTGAGAGCAGAGACCCGCTTTGTGCTCTGGGGTGGGGCTGGGAGTCGGGACTCGGACTCCACCTTGGGACAGGACAGAGAACCCGCTTCGTGCCCGGGGGGCGGGCCCAGCAGTAATCCCGCCCCCTTCTCTTCGGCTCGCTATTGCCCCGCCCTCATGAATATTCATAGCCTGCCCCTCTCCCGCCGCGCGGCGCTATGTTGGGCGTTCAGCCCTTCGCGCCGCTAACGGGCGGGCGGGCGCGGCACGTGGCGGGGCGGCTATGGCCTCGCATGGGCGCGGCTTGGTCGACAGGGACACCGCCGGTCTGGCGCACAGTGTGAGTGGGACAGGCCCGGCCCCTCGCCCACCGTCAGCGCCGGGACCACCTCCCCGCCGCCTAAACCGTTCCCCGGCCCTGTCACCCTCACTCCCCCGTTACCCCATCGCCTGCCCCACCTCACTCCCCCGTTACCCCA